CTTGGATTATCGGAAACCTACACACCAAATTTCGTTGAGATATCTCAATTTTTGCTCGAGTTATCGTGTGCACGGATGGACGGACAGACGGACGGACAGACAGACATGGCTTAATCGACTTCTCTATTCATTCTGAGCATTTATGTATGTATACATTTGTCTATATNTGTGCACAAGTGCGCTCGGGTATAAAAAACTGCCGTCAAACTATCCTATCTTGAAGGCCGTTCGAAAGCCTACATTAGCTCGATGAACTATCCTAACTTTGTACTATCTCAGCTTTGTCAGACAAACTATCTTAACTCCGACGCGCCTGTTTTTGTATCGGTTGTTATGTTGTGATGCTATGCAGTTGAGACACAAAAAATAGACTCGTCCAATTTAGGATAGTTTGTCTGGCAGCGCTGAGTTAGTACAAAGTTAGGATAGTTCAAAGAGCTAATATAGTTTTTCGCACGTCATTCAAAATAAAATAAATTTACGGTTATCGACCAGTTGAGATGATGTAGCCCGGGTAGCTTTGAGGTACAAAAAAATGCCTCGTTGTGAACTGGTAGGCACTGAAAGCGAATAGTTTTCAGCGCGCAAACTACACATACGGCAGTTGACCTGCAATGCCGTCTACTACAGCATCCATGTAAGGTATGGAAGTCCGAGTGTTGGTTACTGATGGAAGAGAGACTCCATCGCCGAGTATTTTCGTTCGCATTAATCCCCATCAAAGCTAGATTTTTCAACATCTCGTTCATATGCGTCATAAGCCTCTTCTATGAGCGCTTAGAGCGTACTTACGAGCGCGTTATAAAAATCGTGCTTGCGAACTTCAATTCCTCGATAAAATGTCCGATAACGACTTCGCCGGGGTCCGAAACATAAGAAGATCAATGAAAATATATGGTTATTTCCGGTTCGAAAAGACGAGATGTACGTTCACAGTATGTATGTGAAAGCTCAACGCCGAAAAGCTGAAATCACAACAGACGGCCAGAATATAATCCACTTGACTCTTACATCCACTATGTATGTATGTACCTGAGAGCACTCTTCAATGAATCAATGCCGCGCCAAAATCCTTACAAATATTATAAATCCGAAAGTGAGTTTGTTTATTTTTTACGCTTTCACGCTTTAACCTCTTTAACCAATCATTATGAAATTTTATACACTGGTGTCATTTAGTCCAACTTAAAATATAGGATACATTTAATCGCGATTGTGCAAGAGGGCGTGGCACATCCCATACAAACGGAATTTTTCATACTGCATATCGCACGAAATATTTGTGATAGAGTACTGGAACTTGGAATAGAGACATATAAAATCAATTCCACAGTCATAGAGGAGGGCTGGCACCTATTTAAAAAATTAAATTCAACTTGAATTAAGGGAATTATTTTTTTGAAAGGTATATTAAAAATGGATGTCAAGAAGCTTAAAAAGTTGTGGTTTGAAAATATTTCAAATTTAAATTAATTATTCGCAAGCTATCTGAAAAATAAAAATATGGGAGTCAAGCATATATCGATGGCTGAGTGGAAGATCGACCTATCTCGGCAGCCAGTTCGAAAACATTCTTTTCAAGAACGCCCTATTTCAGAATTCGTTTCAAAAACGCCCTATCTCAGCTGCCGATTCAAAAACGCCCTATATCAGCATATTTTCAATACATTTTGAAGTGAGATAGGGCGTTTTTGAACCGAATTTTGAGATAGGGTGTTTTTCAATTAAATTCTGAAATAGGGCGTTCTTGAAAAGTTTTTTGAGATAGAGCGTTTTCGAACTGGCTTCCGAAATAGGTCGATCTTCCACTCAGCCATCGATATGTAATACTTATATATTGGCAGTAAGCTAACTTCTCAATGTGTAAGTATTCCGAAATCAAAGCGAGACAGTCTAGTACTGTTTTTATCAATGTATTGTGTACTTGAGTGCCGTTTTTGTTTATGTGTTGTGTACATGTTTATTTATAAACGTTTGTGTTCCTTTTATTTCGTACGTGTTTATTGATATATCTGTACTGTAGTGTTTTCGGACGGTACTAGCTCTTACTGCCAATATAGGAGTATTACATATATGGAGTCAAGCAAAAGATTGTAAAGAAACCTTCAGATTGTACATTTAGAATTGTATTGTTTAAAAATTATATTCAATTAATTTAAATAAATGACTACAATATGGGTGTCAATCTAGCTGTTTTTGAAAAGGGTTTTAGTTCTAAACAACATGAAGGACAGACAGTTGCCACCCGAAAAAGCCAAATTTTACTTGAATTAATGGAATTAGATAATTGGAATATGTATAACAATATGGTGATCAGACCAAAGGTCCTTAATAAAGTTTTAGTTGAAAATATTTTGGAGAGGGTTGCCACCTTTTTTAAAGTCGAATTTAAAATAATTATACTCAATTGAAGTGTCAAACGTAAGAGTGCTTAGAAATGTTCAGATTGAACATGAAGAATTTTATGAGGTATTGAAGAGCACCTGTCTTAAAAATAACTTCAAATGCAGTAATATTATATGTAAGTTAAATGAGTTATTAAAATATATGTAGGTATTAATCGAAAGTCTTGAAAAGGCCCTCTTTCTAAGCTATATATAATAGCAGGGTTTCCACATATTTGAAAATTCAAATTCAATTTTAGTTAAAGGAATTAGGTAATTCAGCATATGCACGTATCACAATAGTGTGCGACGAAAGAGGTTGAAAAAGGTTACCAACTGTTCAGAAAGATAAATTCAAACTTTTCAATAATTTCAATGAATTATTGCAATGGGGGTATCAATCGAAATGGTTTTGAAAGGGCTTCATTTCTAAACTACATGTAAGAGGGTGATCCGCTTTTCAGGGTATAACTAAATTGTAAAAGTATCACAAAAGTGAGGTTTAAGAAAGTTTTAGTTTGAAAATATTTTGAAGATGGTTAAAATCATTTAAAATCTCCTGTTTTTGGCATAGTTTAAGTATGTTGAGATTTCGAACACTCAGCGAAGTGGGTGATGGCGATCTAGTGGAGCCATATTTCTCTCTGATCACGTACCGCCGTCGGAGTCGAATTTCAAAAAGCCCGAGAGTCACGAAGCTGAAAAAGCCACGCTAAAAAGAGGCGACTCACTATCATACGACTTCTTGAATGCTGTAGCAGATAATACCAGCTGCAGGACTAAATCTCTCAGGTATAATCTTTTTCAAGAGCACACAATTACTGTATGAGCTTTGCAACGATAAGGACATAGTGCAACGGATGATGCCCAATTTACCAATGAGGTATTTACCCATGTGCCATCACCACGTGTAATTGATATTTATATTTCATATTTAAGAATGTCTAAGTTTTCCTAAGGTTTAAAATAAAACCCATTAAAAATTATTCTATATCTGTTGTAAGTCCTTCCAAAAACAACAAACACATTCACAATTATAAGAAAATAAACATTTTTGAATTGAAAAAATGTTCAATCGGTTTACGCTTCCTATTCTAATGAATGCGATATGCTTCATTTGAAAACAGGCAAAATTCCAAATATGACTTGGTGTAGCCGCCACCTGGCACGGGCTTTTGGAAATATGTATGCTGTATATTTTACAAAAATAAACAATTTCCATTTCGAGAAGCGAGATTTATTATTAAATGCATCACTGCAAGGCAATGCATTTTATTTTTATGATACTAAAATAAAACAAAAAGCAAAAATAGATCAGAATACATTTAGTTATAATATCTGTGTGTTTATGTATGTATGTATATTTGCATATGTACATTAGAGTGCATCATACAAAAAAAGTTGCGGTTTTCCGGAAATACAAAATTTTTTTATATTTAAGACTTCTGCCAAAATATTGCGGAAAAGTGTTACGATTTACGTGAGCTAGACCGATTTCAAAATACCTCCATATTTGACATCGGGGGGCAAAACTACGTCAAGTGTCATTAAAATATATTAAATTTCCCACTGACTTATAGGCAACTATAACCACTTTGTGAAAAATTGCATGAAAATGCTGAACTTTAGGGCCTTTCGAGCCATGTCTTTCCGTTGTCGTTTCTATGACCAAAGGAACATTTCTAGGGGGAGTCTTGCTTTGTAGCTTAATAAAAAATTTTCGCCATACAACCAAGGCGCAGTCTAATGTGCAGACATGAGCAGAGAACGAGCACACAATGGGCTAGCTTTTCTCAATATTCATCTTAATCTGGGTATTAATGACGACTCAGTATTTAAAGAATTTTAATCTATACTTCGGTAAATTGCATGTGACTTTTTTTTGAGTTTTGTATATCCATAATTAAATACAATATGCTGCATCTCTAAATAAAACAATAATATTTTCGGTTGTTACGAATAACTTAAGATAGAACTTGGCCCCTTAAAAGAGAAATCGTGCGGCCGACCCTGCACCCTAATATACAAACATGTTTCCAAAAATATAATTTTCTACTTAAAAACGACTTCAAAATTTGAATATGTGCGCGCACTCATCTTAAAATATTCGTGCCAAAAGCATTTAATTTCATTTGAACTAAATTCGACAACAGAAACAAATATATATACATATATATATAAAGTGTACGCGGTTTGAAAAAAACTTAAGAAAAAAAAAACCAAAACAAAAATGAAAGCAATTATGTAAATATCGGACAAAACCCGACGCGAATTTCTTTCAATTTTATTTCGCATTCACCTTACACTTCGTACACAGCTTTTGTCTAGCTCATCAGTTAAGCTGCAAAGTTGCCTGCCCGCCCGGTTTTCGTACACCTGCCTAGCCACTTCTGCTGCCCACCCAAAACACCTTGTGACTCGTTGTCCAACGTCCGTCCAGCGTACATCGCATTAACCCATTTGAATTTACATACATATAACAGTATTAAATTAAAACCTCATCGCATCAACAAACTTACTTATTTCACGCTACAAAAGAATCTGGCATTCCAACCCACCCTTTATATAAATGTACATAATATGTATGTAAGTATTTTGTCTTCGGTATTCACTCACCTCGGACGAGTCTGTTGAACGCCGCCAGCCTTGCACCATTTCGAATGGATCCACAACGGTTTCTTCCTCAATAACACCGTCTGGCGTTGCACTTTCCATTACATACACCAAGTCCACTTCTTGCGGCGCTTCCGGTCCATGCTGCGCCTCATCCATACCAGTCACATGCACAGCCCCGGCCACACCAACGACATCGGCCATATCTATTGCCACCCCCAAGCAATCGCCGGCACCATGCACACCAGGTGTGTCCATTGCTATGGCAAGTATTTCGCTTACACTTTCTGTCACTGTCGCTGTGGTTCCTTCTTCCCTGCGGCCATTCTGCACTGGCGTTGTCCATGGTGATGGTGTGGGCGCGGGTGTTGGTGGTGTTTGTGTTGTCGTAAGTGTTTTGAATTTTCCCAAAGTCCCATTACATTTTGCTGACCGTGCTTCATTCCAACTGCATACCTTGCGCGACTTATCTTCGATTGCCCTATTTTCTACACCAGCTGTGCGCTGACGGCGTAGCTGATATCGTGGAACGCGAGATTTCGCGGCATTGGCGGCGAGAGCGGCGGTGGAGCCGCTTTCAGTGTCACTGCTAGCGTCAGCAAGAGCGCCTACGGCAGCGCCGCAATTATAGTTGTTGTTCGTGTTGTAACTGAAAGCGCATTCATCGCCATCAATGCATTCTACATCAATATCAAAATCGTCGATGGCAGGGGCGACGGCATTAGCCGCGTCAACGTAATAGGTTTCCATTTCTGCGCACGTTGTTTGTGTGCTCTGTTCGTCTTTCCCCTCCGCGAGCGGCGGCGTTTCCGATTGCTGATACAGCGCACTGATCCGCTCCGCGTGCACCTCGCGCATATGCTCTATAAAAACATCGAATTGCAAGCAAATACCAGCGCAAAAGCAACAATTCATGCCATAAGTTTGCGCATCGGGGGACACGGTAATTTCGCCACATTTTCGAAAGCAAGCAAAATCCTCCAATTGCCAGTTGTTGACTTGTTGAGCCAGCAGAGTTGAAGACACAACACTCATCGTTGCGGACGCCAGAGGCGAGCGAGCGCGTGCGAAAGTGTAGGCGCCTATATAATAGTTGGGACGAAAAATTTAGCCAAAGAAGGTGGTAAAATGATTATGCGCCGCCACCCAACAGCAAAGCCCGGAAAACTTACACACACACGCGCGCGTACGTACTATACCCTGACACGCGAAAGTGATTTATGCGCGGAAGACGCGGCGATACAAACATTTATAGATACTACTCCAGCAGTGGCGCTTCCGATCAACCCTATCAAGTGCATACGTTGAAATACGCCCGAAAAAAAACACTTCTAACGGTTACGCTTTTACGCACGCTGACGTATTTTTTCTTCCTAAAATTTTCTCTACTTTTTATTCGTGTAATAAATAAGCGCGTTCACTTTTCTTTGATTATGAATTTCATTTCCTTTTACACCAAAAATAAAATATACACACTAGCCAAGGTTTTTGTTTATTAATCAAAAGACAGGCAATTTGTAACGTCCGTGCGCGCCTAGTGCTACCAGCCAACCGATTCAATGTTACTCGTTCCACTGCCGGCCATCAACTAACTAGTTCCAGCTGATGGCCGCAACTTCGGCATAGCGAATACACAAAATCGAAAACACTTTCTGCGCTGCTGCGCGTCACTGGCGGCGGCAGGCGCGCGCTCCGCCTCTCGTTGAATGTACTACGCTACGCAGTGTTTATCAAGCTTTGGGGGGCTGGTAGCGCTGCTGCTACCACATACTACTACTCGCAAGCAGACGAAAAGCGTCAGCATTTTTAGGGGTGTGAGAGCGAAGTTGGGCCAAAGAGTCGCATATAGAAGTACTACGTTGGTTAGTACGTAGCGCATCGGTTGGAGCACGGATTGGGAACAAGAAATACTAGATTGAAAAGTAGGTAAAGTGTGTATTAGCAGGAGGAAAACAAGCGTTTTATTGTTGGTGATTGCTGTTTGGCATTCGAATTGTGAGGATCTCTTATGAAATCGTTATGCGTCAACACAATTAAGTAGGATTACACACATATACCTATGTATGCATATACATAGAGGCATGAACAGCCCTCTGGTTTTTCATACAGCCGTACTCGTTAGTCTTCCCTGTCTATCATCACAAAGTATGATATTTATTTGCTTACGTTTGACGGTCGCGCCACAAAAAATTTGTTCGAAATCTCAGGGACGTACTTGATTAAGTAATGAGGGGTTTCTACGCCGTCATTCATCAATTCTAATTTGACACTCAACTGTCTGTTGGGGCCGAGGAGAGTTGGCGCTGGATTTTATTTGAATACCCTACAGTTGAAGATATAATATGGTCTGCCTGTCGACTGCAGTGTCTTTCAAGCCGTGAGCTTTGCTACAAGTACAGAGTTTTAGGTATCTATCAGGCGAAGTACACACTATCTTTTTTGACTAAGCGGTTCAAAGTCCTGAAATGAAATCAGCGATGCGGATAACTTCCTGCAAGGAACGATTGATGGTCTACTGAGGGAAACTGTGGAGAATATCACAGCCGTAACAAACGACCTATTGACCCGACTATGAGAAGTCAAAGTGTTTATGACCGAAGTCGAAGAAGTCAAATATTCACTCTCTGGTGAGGAGGACGCTAACCAGACCGTGGTCGCTTGTCCAGCCAGAGCATGCAAAACTTTTGGTAGGGATTGCACAGATTAATTTCCACCCCGCAAGGTCGCATCAGCCGTACTTCTCGCCGTATTTCTCCTTCGTCTCGCCGAAAGAGAAGAGCAGATCGTGCTCATCCAGGAACCTTGGGTCATAAAAGATCAGGTTTGTGGACTGAGCATTAATGGATAATAACTGGTTTATGTCACCGACAAAGATAAACCCAGGCCGTGCATTTTCAAAAAAAAATCTATTAGTACGCTCCTCTTTATGCATTTTAGCGATGCAGACCGAGTGGTCATAGCATTGGCAGATACACCCCCTCCATCCCAGTCCCTGAAGAACGTAGTAATGGAGTCCTTAAGACGCGGCACTCCAATGGTCATGGGACACAACGCGAATGCCCATCATCATATATGGGGCAGCTCAGACACGAATAACCATGTGTCAATGAGCAGGGGCATAACTTTTGAATGACTACAGAGTAACTGAAGACAACTGCTTTTCAGACCACATGTATATGGTTTATAACCTAAACGTACGGATAAAGAAATAACAAGCGGTCCCACATTCCAGATAAACTCAGAGCATCAACTTAATCAGGTCGTTGATAATCTAACTAAAGTGTTTCAGCGTGCAGTAAAGGTAGCCGGCCCGACCAGGGCGACAAGTAGGAATCCAAAACACCCATGTTGGCCAATTGAATGTAGATCAAAATTTAACGAAGCTAAAAGATCCAACTCTGGGAGTGAATTTAAGGTCTGGCAACAGCGATTTAGTCACTGAAGCTAAGCGCTCCTTATAAAGAAACTTCTGTCAGAAGATAGAAAGTTCTTTAGAGGCCAGCAGACTACGTAAGATACTATATACGTGTCCTAGCAATATTAGCTACATACCCCATCAAGGAAGATGATGATTGGACAGCTAGCAGCGAAGAAAGAACTTCTAATACAAACGCACTTTCCGACGACTAACCGAAGAGAACATAAAAAGCACTATTAGCAGCTTCCAGCCGGTATAAGACAGTAAAGGCCGGAAAACTTGCACACCCACCCGCTCACGTACCACACAATGCCACGAGAAGTTGATTTATGTATGTGCAGAAGACGCGACTGCAGCGGTGACATTCAACTCTGGTTAGACCAATGTGCCTATTCCTGGCAATCATAGAGAGTATTCCCAATGAGAACAATTGACTGCGAGTGGAAGTATTCATACACGTCTTTATAACCTAACTTTATACTTGGACTGATAGCCGAACGCCTCCTTCCTTAGCAATATTTCGACATCGCCTGAGTTGTTACCAAGCGCAAACTTGAACAACATTGCTTATTCTCTACCCGTGGATGGCTAGAATTTTTTCAATGGAGTATCAACCTCCACATAACTGACATGTCCAAGCCAGCGGTTGCGTTATATCTTGATGCGTTTGACTATATCCACGTCAATATAGAGCTCGTAAAGTTCATACTTATAAAATTTTTAGTAGACGTCGCCCACGCAAACCGGGCCATAGATCTTGTATAGAATAGTTCTTCATAAGTCGCCCAAAACCGCTTCAGCATCGTACACTTTGCAGCTCGTGTTGCGTTGCCCAACATCAGATTAAAGAAGTCGCACGACAGTGAATCAATCGCTTTGTTTAAAAAATAGTTTGGTATCCAAGGACCAGGGAGAAACATTCCAATTCGGATGGAGCTAAAAGTTGTGCTCAACGTCACTCTACATACGTAGCCGTTTAAGTGATATTTCAGATACTGTATAGATTTTTGAACGTCTGAGTTTCATCAAACAATGGGTATCTCAGCACAGGTGGAAGGAATAAAACTTCACTGAAAGATCTTTGGCCAAATAAATAAAAGTGATACAGATATCAAGGTTTTAAATGAGTAGGGAGGGACCCAAGCACACCATTCGTTGGCTAAGCTTTAAGCTACGAGAGCCCGAAGACACCATGGCGTGTATTCTTTAAAGTTATTGTGTAAATTCAGGACAAATCTTCCTTCGAAGGGCACCCTTATAATTCTTTCTTTGAACCGCCTATGGCAAATTTTACTAGTACACTTGGTGGTGAATGACAATTCAAACGTAAAATGTTTGACTTTGTATTACTTTAGTTGGAGCAGTTTTCTTGTAAAGAGCGAAGAGAGACCTACTAACATGCATGTAAATGCTTACATATACATAAATATGTATATGTCTTTTGTATATTAATATAAAGAATGTACATACATGCATACTTATGTAAAAACTTTGTTGTTTGAATGTTACTATCATTTTTTCTTATTGTCTAGAACCTATAACAAATGCAGTCTACTATATGTGAAGTGAAATTAAAATCGAATCGTCCACGCGCCTTCGACAGCTACTTTACTTAGTTACAGTCATGAGCAATAAAAAAGCAACGGCCTCGAACATGTGTTTGTAGAGGGGTATCTAAATATCTTGATTCCAGCATCATCTATGTTTTAGGTCCGTTTTTTGCAGAAGCACTTCTTATCAAAAAGTTAATACCCGTTAATCCAGATCGTATGATAAAGACGGATTCTCTAAATATCTCGACTTTAACGCCATCTATCGGCACAATTTTTTGCAAAAGTATATTTAACGATGCAGACCATCCGACTTCGTTCGCTTGGATTTTTAAATTGATATTCTCTGAACGTAGACGATATGCGTTGTGGGAGGTGCTACGACTTCTTGCAAACTCTCATCCCCGTTTTAGATCATTACACTGCATTCAGCTTAGCTGTCTGTTTGTAATGGGTTCAAGATTATGGTTCTCTAAATTTACTACTATAGGAGGTACCACGCCCCTGGAAAACACACTCCCTTTCAGTTTACTACAAACTCATTTGTATACATTTACCATAGATCTTCTCACCAAATTTCAAAGTCATGTGAGTTTGGGGTTCGAAGAAATAGCAAATGGGGGATTTCACGCCAATGGAATGTGCCGCGGCCCTTATACAAACTCACTTATTTTTACCTCGCTATAAGCGCCTATTTATAGTTATGTCTTCACACTAAATTTCGAAGTCACGTGACTTATCGTTCTTAAATTATTGCTGATTAAAATTTGGCGTCTGTAAGATGTTCCACACCCCTTTTACAAACGTATTATATGTATGAATATGGATACTTTATTTTAAACATCTATCATAGATTCACACCAAATTTCAAAGCCTTGTGACTTACGGCTCCGAAGATATTTCTGATTAAAAATTTCACGACAATGGGATGTGCCACGCCCCTTGTTCAAACTCATTCATATATGCCTTACTATGAGCGCTTACCATGGATAAATATGTCTTCATACCAAATTTCAAATTGATGTGACTTACGGTTTCGAAGTTATAGTTGTCATGTCTCTTTTTTTATACCCTAGGTTACGTCCGAGGTCAGTCTCTATATACCACTTACAAGCCCATGAAAATCCAGTTAGTAGTTCCGGAAATTAGTGAGTTCAAACAGGCAAACAATCTACAGTTTTATTACAGTATAGATAATTCCAATTAAAAACGGGCTGTATAAAGAAAACCAACCAATTTTGACTTCGCGTTAAATGAATTATGCGGTTATATTTGTTTTCTAACCAATGTGAGAAATAAAAAACCGATTTGCAAATAAATTCGGGAATGTAGGCACAAGAAAAGCTGCTTTCCAATAGCTTTCTGCAGCTGGATAGACCATATTTATACTGTCATTATGCTTAACTGAGAAATAAAGCAAGATTTTTTACCCAGTGGCCAACGTACTCTAGTCGGAAAGCCTGGATGTAAACAATTAAGTGTACCGAGCATATAAAATGAATCATAACAATAATAAAAGAACACAAGAAATACGTTTACAATCACTGTATAGAGCTTTAAGAATCAGCAACGAATACAACTGAACCCTTGAATATTTAATTACGTCTCCCACGAATTTAGCAAACCATTCGCATTGCTTTGAGAATACTT